CTTGCTGTCCCTGTTTTTGAGCTAGTACACTGCCAATAGCTGTGCTAGAAGCATCAGTATACAGAGAAAATGGCAATGTGAAGTCAGGGAATGAAACCACTGGAGGGTTTGAGAGGGCATGTTTCAGATACATGAATGCATCCTGGCACTGAGAAGTCCATTGAAAAGTTGCATGCTTCTCAGTGAGAGCATGTAGGGGGACACTGTGGTGCGCAAAGTTTTGAATAAACTTGCGATAATATGAACAAAGTCCAAGGAATGACCTTACTTCTGTCGCTGTTTGTGGAATAGGCCAGGCTTGCACACTGTTCACATTTCTGGGGTCAGGCTGGATGCCATGTTTTGATACAATGTGGCCCAGAAATTGTACCTGATCTTTGGCAAAACAGCATTTTGAGGGGTTTAGCTTCAAGCCACTTGCCTGGAATCTGCCGAAAATTTCTTCCAGATGCTGGAGATGTTCTGCGAAAGAGCGGCTGTAAATGAGGACATCATCCAAATACACTAAGCAGGTTTTCCAGGGAAGGCCACGAAGTACCATCTCCATTAACCGCTGACATGTGGCTGGAGCATTTGTGAGTCCCATGGGCATAACAGTGAAGTGGTAAAGTCCACTGCCGGTTGTGAAAGCAGTTTTCTCACGATCCTTCTCTTCCAGTTCAACCTGCCAATAGCCATGTTGAAGGACTTCAAAGTCCTGCTGCCATACCTGAGTCCCAAGCCTAATACCAACGGTTAACTTGCCTAAGATTTCCAGACGTTCTCCATTGACCGAACGAGCTGGCACAGAGGATGCTACCATAGGCCGTTTTTTCAAAGCTGGATGAGCGTTTCGAAAATCTTCACTCACAAGGGAGACAAAGGAACCCGAGTCAATTAGAGCACACACTTCAATGCCCTCGACAATAGCCAAGACGTTAGAGGAGACTGATCCATCAGATTCTAAACTTTCACCTGGTTTCCGGGGGCGAGCATTCACATGTGTCTGGAAGAATGGCAGAGAATATTTTGGACCGAAAACCTCTTTCAGCTTATCCTTCACTAGATCATAGTCTTTCTGGGCTGATGAAGGCAAACTGTCCCAGTACAAAAATGCAGCATCTGCTAGACGAGTAGGCAGAACAGAGGACATCACAGTTGGCAAATCTACCTCAGGTGGAGTCATAGCTTGCACTGCCACTTCAAAGCGACGAGACCAACTAGTAAAAGATTCAGTCCCATCTCCTTTAAAAACAGGTGGAAGATCTATTGTCAGGGCACTGGAAACGGTATGGTGGGCGGGAGCAGCAACAGTCCGCATTGCATCCACTGACCTCGAATGTGGCACAGGAGAAGAGCGCAGCTCATGCACAGATTCACTCTCGTCAGCCGACATGTTCCCAACAAATATCCAGCTCAAAAAAAAAATCACAAAAATCACAAAATCACAAAAACAGAGAGAAAAGCTGCAACAATCCTTACTATCTCCAAAAATTATTACTATTATTATTTTCAGTTCATCAGCTGTTCACAGAGAGGGATAAATCCCAGCGGGAAAAAAAAACGATCTTATCCGCAGCTTGGGAGTAAAACTCACCAAATACACAGATCCATCAAGAAAATAAATCCCACCGCTGCCACCAGATGTAACGTGAGGGTTCACTAGATGGTTTGGAATCTCTCTGAATAATTAGGAACAGCAAGATGGAGACGGATAACTTTTTAGCAGCCACTTTACTCTCAGCACACCGCAACAACAACCCACACTTCCTGTGTGCCGCCCTCATGAATACTTCACTGACCTCTCAGAAGCCAGGAAATCTTATACTCAGATCAAAACAGGGAAAACAACCAGGTAGATATAACACATACTTATTACTGGTTTGAACATGCATGTCTAAACATTCAAACATGTAAACATGTAAATATCAAAACACGTAACCACCAAATAGCTACATAACTAGCTTTATAACCTTTGTAAACACCTCTTTGTATATCAAAGTAGATTTAAATTTACTTCTACACTTTACATTTTCCTCCCCCCCTCACATAAGAAACGTCCCCGTTTCCCTACAGAAAAGGGAAAAAAAACAAAACAACATGTTGTGAGCAAAGGGGACAATAATAATATGCGGGACTGACAGGATCCTTTAGCTCAGCGCGACAGTGTGCTCATTGAGAGATATCGATTTTCCCGTGAGGGTATTATTCACTTAACCAACTTGTTGACGAGGGGGTGCAGGACCACCACCTGTCTTCTTCTGCTCTGCCCTTTTCTTGGTTGCTGTTATGAACAAACAAACAGATTATTTCAGGGTCTCTTTCCAAGAGACGAAAAGCAATATAAGTGATAAATATTACCATTCTGTAGAATATTCTTATATTTCACTTTTACTTGTTCCCATGTTCTAGTGGGTCCTGTTGTGGCTCTAATGTGAAAGGGGATATAATATAACATAATATAATGTAATATAATATTGTTATTATTAAATTACTTACGAGTTTAATTTGTCAGCAACTTTCTGCCAGCCCTCTCTCCTTGCTTTTGCAGCCTTTGCAGTGTTCCCTTGCGTTCTGATTAAACTCTGAAACTCCTGAAATCCCTCACTCAAGAGTTCTTGCTCTGCTGCCGAGAAATACCGAACGCGGTCCTTCGACATTTTCGCCGACCAATCAAAGGGTTGCCGATCAATGTTTCTACTATCGATACCTAGCCCCTTTTACGACACCCAGTGATCTCACATTACTTCATCCAGCTGTACTAATCGTCAACAGCAGGTGTGTTCGGGGAACCGGATTAGCGAGCTCACGGTTAGCGCGATGGTTTGGTCTTGGATGTGTCATTTGATCTTGGATGTAGTAAGCGACGTACGAAGAACGGGCCCCTGGGCACAGACAGAGACACACACACAGACAGAGATACACACACGCACCTCTCCCGCTGCCAGCTTAACATAACAACAACAACAACAACATTGTTAACCAAAACTCTGAACTTTTAAGCCGGCGAGTTGTGATTGCAGATGCCATGCAGGTGCGTCCATCGCACCCGGAGCAGCATCTCAAACCATGCCCCGCCACACACCCGCCCGGGGGGCGGCCGCCCACGCACCCAGTGGCGCCGGTGATGAGGTGGGTCCGGGGTCACCCACGTCTCCAATGGCAACCCCGGAGCTGGACGGGGACCACCCATGCGGCAAGCAGAGGCGCAGAAGGCATTGCCCCGGGATCACGAGCATGTCCGCAGACGTCCAACATGCCAGACTACACCACGCGCCAGCTTCTGGTGGAGGTGAGGCCGGTCTGCTCAGTCCGCTATGCTACAACGCTACATCTATCACTACAGCCGTCTTCTTCAGTTTTACGACCCGGATCAAACGCCGCAACATAAAAAAAAGATGAATACCAGAGTGTTAGTGAGAAGAGGTTTTATCTTAAAACAGAATACCAGTTTGGCTAAAATGGCTGGTGCCACCAAGGCAAAGACAAGTGAGCTTCCAGGAAGCTTGCCTCAGGTATGCTTTTATCCACACCTGACTAGGTGTGGCCAATTAGCACCAGCTGAAAACATTGAGGAGATTAGGGGCTGCAGAGGGATTGTAACATTCAGTTTGTCTACCACCACTATGTCCAGTTTGTTACCCATCACCAGCTCGTCCTTCTGTATCTGGAAGTCCCACAGGATCTTAGCTCGGTCATTCTCCACCACCCTTGGGGGCATCTCCCATTTTGACCTCGGGACTTCCAGGTTATACTCGGCACAGATGTTCCTGTACACTATGCCGGCCACTTGGTTATGGCGTTCCATGTATGCCTTGCCTGCTAGCATCTTGCACCCTGCTGTTATGTGCACCTAGGGTCTTGCCCGGTGTGATAGACCCCAGCCTCTATGGATCTTGTGCTCAGAGATTGTTCCTGTGCTGCCATGATTAAGGCCTCTGTGCTGTCTTTCAGTCCAGCCACTGGTAGGATTTCTGGATGTCACCCACCTCCTGTATCTGCCGGTGGTACATACCGTGCAGGGGCCTGTCCTTCCATAATGGTTCCTCTTTCTTGGGTTTCTGCTTCCTGATATTAACTGAGCATGCAGTTGAATTGGGCCGTCTTCCTGATGTAATTGTGGATGTTCGTTGTCTCATCCTGGACCGTGGTGGTGATACTCACCAGTCCCCAGGCTCCTTCCTTCGGCTTAGCATACAGCTTCAGGGTGCTTCACTTGGGGGGGGAAACCCTCCATCCATTGTAAGGAGCTACCTTGTCTTGATGTCAGTGGCTTCTATCTCCTCCTTTGGCCAGCTTATTATCCCAGCAGTGTCTTATTCTTACCGTTCAGCTGACTCCTCAGGACTTGCCTTACCCTCTGCAGGTACTTGGTGGTTGCAGCTTTTCTAGTGACCTCTTCATGGTTCCCATTTGCCTGTGGGATCCCCAGGTAGCTGTCCTCTATGTCTGCAATGTTGCCTTCTGGTAGTACGATCCCCTCAGTTCTGACTACCTTCACTCTCTTTGTCATCATCTGACAACATTTCTCCAGTCCGAACGACATTAAGATGTCTTTGCTGTATATCCTGGTGGTGTGGATGAGTGAATTGATGTCTTGTTCACTCTTGGCATGCAGCTTGATGTAATCCATGTACAGGAGGGTGACTGACAACTGCTCCATTCCGTAGTCTGTATCCATAGCCAGTTTTGTCAATGATCTCATTGAGGGGGTTCAGGCCTATGCAGAACAGCAGTAGGGACAGAACATCTCCTTGGTAGATCCCGCACTTGATAGTGACTTGTACTATGGGCTTGAAGTTGGCCTCTAGTATTGTACACTACATCCATTGAGTTCCTGATGAAGGCTCCGAGGGTCCAGTTGATCTTGTACAATTCTAGGCATTCCAGGATCCAGGTGTGGGGCATTGAGTCATAGGCCTTCTTGTAACCAATCCAGGCAGTGCACAGGTCTTGCAGTCTCGGCTGACTGCTCGGTCTACCAGTAGCTGGTCTTTTGCGCCTCTGGTATTCTTGCCCATTCCTTTCTGTGTCCCATTCATGTATTGACCCATGTGCCTGTTCATCTTAGCCACTATGATGCCTGACAGGAGCTCCCATGCGGTACTGAGGCAGGTTATTGGCCGCTAGTTGGATGTGACCAGTCCCTTCTGGGGGTCTTTGAGTATCAGAACTGTCCAGCCTTTGGTTAACCATTCTCGGTGTCTCTATTGAATAGAAGTTGGTTCATTTGTGCTGCCAGACGCTCATGGAGTGCAGTCAGCTTCTTCAGCCAGTAGGCTTGAACCATGTCGGGGCCTGGTGCTGTCCAACTCTCCATACTAGAGAACCTTTCTTGGATGTCTGCCACTGTGATGGTTATTGGACCCTGTTCAGGGAGGTTGCTGTGGTCTGCTCTCAGATCTACTAGCCACAGGGCATTACCATTATGGATTGCATCGTTCTCCCATATGCACTTCCAGTGTTGCTCCTTGGTGGTGCTGTTCCCATATTGTTCCCCTGCCACTGAGAGTACACCTTGGCTGGTTCGGTGGAGAACAGCTGGTTTATTCTCCTTCCTTGGATCTCTCTTGTGTACCTCTTCAAGCAGCTGGCCAAGTCTGAGTCTTTGCTTGGAAATTACAGGTATTAGGTATGGACAGCTTGCTGTACTTCTTAGGCTTCTTTGTCGCACCTTTCTGCAGCTATGATAGTTGGCTAGCCTCCTTCCCTGCTACCTTGTGAGTAATTTCTTATCTAATGGTTAAAATTTTATTTGTGAAGAAGTTCATAAAGACATTACTAGTTAACGTTAAAGGAACAGTTGGCTTAACAGTGCTTTGACGTTTTGTCTGCCTGGCTATAGTGCTGAAGAGAAAGCTAGGGTTGTTCTTATTTTTTTCAGTCAATGATGAATACTAAGATGTTTAATCTTAGTATTTACAGAGGTTGCAGAGTGGGGAAAAGCAGATAGACACATGAACAGGTTGGTGGTGTACCTGGGGCTTCTGTTTAGGACTTTCCTTCCTCCTCACCGTCACCCAGCCATCCTGTTTCCCTGGCTCCTCAGCACAGTCTGCTGGGAGCAGTTAGCAGGGCCTACACTACCTTCATCTACACGCGATACAGTGGCCAGGCTAGCAACAGGTTTTCAAGGGTGTGAAACTGAGTCTCCAATTCAGCCTTCAGAGTTGCAAATAGGCTACATTTATTACAAGTATCATTATCGCTAAAGGCGATAAGGCAGAGGATTAACTACACATCTGAGCAGGAAATTGCAGGGGGGTGAAGAGGTGAAGAGGCCATGCTGCTAATGAGTCGGCTACGAGCTGAGCTAAGCTAGAAACAAAGACACAGCGAGTGAATACTGTGAATATAATTCGTGAGTGAATCAACTGAGAGTGTTTCGGATTAAGCACGTGAAGATTACACTATGAAATAAGAAGTTATCTATACGTTTTTATTAAATTGTTACACGGGTGGCTCTATCTGTACACATGCAGCCTCTGTGTCACATCACTGCAGTGAAGCACACACACTGTTTAGTAAAGTCATGTTGTGGAGCTGTTTCACTGATCAATGACTGAGTCTGAAGGAGGTTTTCTGACTTCTGGAACAAACCTGGAAGTTTCTCTTCAGCTCTCTGTATCAGCTGTTTGTAACTCTCAACTCTTTCAGCTTCTGGAACAAGTTTGTGTGAGCCACAGTCAAGGAGCCACCAGAGGACACTTGATAACCATCGGCATTATGGGTAGTGTAGTAGGAGACACTCACCTGACATGAAGTACTGCCGAAAATGAAAGAAAAGACCTCCAGAAACCCCAAGAACAACCAGGAGAATGAGGAGACCTACTAAAACTTTGGCCCAGGATGGAAATGGTTCTGTGGAGAAGCGTAAAAAAAGGAAGATTTCTGACCCCTGACCTATATCTAGAAAACTGACCTCTGACCTCAACTTACAGCACTGACCTTCTACCTGTAGCACTACTTTCTGTCTCAGGATGTCTTTGTCCCTGTAGATGGTGCAGATGTATCCTCCACTGTCTCTCTCTGTGGGCTGTTTCAGGGTCAGACTGAGGTCTCCAGTTCTCAGCAGGTCTTCATTCATCTTCGTTCGGTCTCTGTAAACTTCATCCTGAGTCATAAGGTCATCATTTCTGTTAGAATACTCATGGACTGTGATGAGTCCGAGGTCAGAGCGAATCCACTCCACTGTGGTGCCCTCGGGCAGGTCAGGTTTTGTTTTGCAGGGCAGGATGACAGATTGTGACCCTTCCCTCACCTTCACCTCCACCTGCTGGTCTGAGAGGACAAGAAACCACAACATAAACTGTAGAAGCCTGTAGAAATTCCTCTGAATGTTTTATGTTGCGTGATGCATAAAATGTAATTTATTTATATATGTAAAGAAATTTGTGTGGTGAACACACTTCCCTTTGCACACAAGCTGAAGGACCTACATGAGTCTAATGTTACATTTTCCAGAGGCTGCAGCAGTTATCTGCAGTCATCTTCTGCTTTGTTGTTTGTGTTTCCTCTGAGGTTACATCTGTGCTAAATGATGCTGCTGGTTTCATCAGTATTTTTTAGAACACTTTAGAAATTAATTTGCGGCAGTTTGACCTCTGACCTTTGACTACAGTACTGACATGTAGTTTTAGAAGGTTTTTGGTTTGTTGCTGACCTTTGACCTTCAGCTGGATGTCTCTGAGTTTCCTTTCTTTCCCTCCAGCACTGATGGAGCATGTGTAGTTGCTGTTGTCAGTCTTTGTGGGTTTCCTCAGAGTGAGGCTGAAGTCTTTTATTATGAAAGCGTAACGATTCATTGATGTGCGCCTGCTGTAACGCTGGTTTTGTCCTCTAAGATCGTCTCCTCCTTTTTCTCCTTGTAGGTGAACAGATTTGGGATCGAGGTCACTGCGAGTCCACATCACTGTGGAGTTGTCAGGTATAAAACTTGAGTACAGACAGGGCAGCTGGACAGACCTTTCCCCCTCATTCACCTCCACCACCACAGCCAGAGCATGCTGGGAAACTGGAAGGACACACAAAGAGAAATAGAAATCAAATACATGTTGTGGGTTTGACCCAGTGTTGAAATGATGAATGAAAAATGACATTATAGTCGGAAACCAGATGTACAAACACACAACTGACCAAAAAAAATACATAAAATTTAGAACTGAATGGCCCTTTATTGTTATCGAACATGTACAACATAACTTAATTAGTTAATTTCAAATTTTTGAATTAATTCGAACTTAATTAGAATTTAATGTAATCTGTGAGTATCAGGCCATCGGTGCACATACATTTAAGCTTTTTAATATATTGTATTGTAATGCAATCAGCATTTCTTCAGGTTTGGATGTCCGCATTTGCAAAATAGTTTTAGACCGCAGAAAACCCACACATCAAAGCAGGGAGGAGAAGACGTGTTTGCACAGACACGATTGCTTTCTGATGACCGACAGCAACACACTGAACCTTATGTTGTTTTCTCCAAACTTTGTTAATTTCAGATGTGACTTAACGCTTATCAGCCCTGCACTCATGTCTCATATCAGCTTCGCCCACGCAGACAGACCGTAGCTAATGTGGTTAGTTAGTCTGTTTCATGCTAGAAACTTTCACCTGAAAGCCCGCAGTCTGTTGGTCCTGACCCTCTCAGACATCATTCACACTCTCACAGGTTAAGTCAAACGTCATGAGGTTGCTGTTTTCCGGTGTTGTGCCAAAAAGTGATTGTCTGCCAAAAACTGATTTCCAATGTTTCCGTGTATTTTTTTTTATGTGTATGTATATATCATCATCATCGTTTATTTGTATAGCACTTTAAGAACACACCAGGCAGACCAAAGTGCTGAACAACACAGATCAAAACAACAACCAAATTAAAAATACCATAAAATCATTACAAACAATAAAATAAATAAGAAGGTGTCAGTTTCCTACAGAGTTAAAAGCCAGGGAATAAAAATAGGTTTTCAATCTGGACTTAAAGACCTGCACTGATGACGCTTGTCTAATTTGGAGGGGAAGGTTATTCCAGAGCATCGGAGCCGCAATTGAAAAGGCACGGTCTCCTCTGCATTTCAGCCGCGACTTAGGGACCGACAGCAGCAGCTGCTCAGCTGAACGGAGCGAGCGAGGAGGAACATGTGGCTTCAGCAAGTCAGATAAGTACACAGGAGCCAGACCATTTAAAGATTTAAAAACCAATAAAAGGACCTTAAAACGAACCCTAAAATCAATGGGAAGCCAATGCAAGGAAGCCAGAACCGGAGTGATGTGATCGAATTTCCTACTACCGGTTAAAAATATATATGTATATGTAAACATATATGTACATATATATACATATACATACATATATATATAAACATATACATATATGTATATATATGTAATATCTTTACGTATGTTCGTAAATAGACTTTCGGTGAACAGGGTTTACAAAGGGGTTATATATAGAATTAAAAAATTATCAGTTTTTCAAGTATCTTCACAACTCTGTGTTATTGTACTTACATTATAACCAATCCGGTCCTTTATCCCTACTTAAAATATTTTTACAGAACTATTGTAATATTTGCTGCCATTTCTGCTGTCCTCTTGGCCAACTTACTCTTACAAAAGACATTTTTAATGTTAATGAGATTTTTTTAACTGCATAAATAAAGGTTATATAAAAGTCACTGCCAAAAACTGATTGCGGCTTCTACCTTGTTACACGAATGTTGTTTGTGGCTCAAGATGACTACATGTCATCCATGAGGGATGCATTTGACATCTGTTTCATATATTATAGCCCAACAAGTTACTTATAGCAGTTTAAATACGAGCAATCAATTTTTGGCAAATACCGGAAATCAGTTTTTGGCACAACATCGGGAATGAGTGAACTTATGGCGCTGTGATGACCAACCTGTCTGGGCGCAGGTTAAACAGGTAAACGGAGCTCAGAGAGTTTCTTACCGCTCAGGAGGAGAAACAGCAACGTCTTCATCCTCCTTTATAAACCACAGCAGCCACAAAGTCCGGTAACCCTGGAAGAAGCAGAGCTCCCAAACACGCCTCACTGTTGTTCCTGTAACTTTGTGTTTGTATGTGAGGGAAACGCCCTGCCTTCCTCCAGCTGTAACTACTGACAGTTGCTGCGTTCAAACACCTCGGATTTCAGAGTTACTACGTTCCAGGAAAAAACGCGACAAACAGGATTTGTTTTGCTTCTCAGCACGTATAACCATCCAAACACCATAGCATAAGAACACGCTTATACTCTTGGTTTGTTTGTGCTTCAAAACAGCACTGCAGCGGACTGAGCCTGCGCGCTGCTGTGTGTGGTTTATACAGCAGTTTCAGATGCAAATTCTTACTGAGGACTCGGAAAGACTTTCGGCCCCATATAGGCCAATTAAGGATCTTCGGATCCACATTATGTCAGCAGCTATTCTCCATCGTGAACTATGTTAAAGACTAGTGATGTGACGTTCTGTGTCGAGGCTTCAAAGTTTGTGTCGAGTAATGGAGGAGGCATTTCCGCGATGCGCGTATCGAGGCTTGCTTCATTTATGGGAGGAACTGAAAATGATGACGTCCGAAGCCTCGCTGCCCGGCTGTGCCACGTGACTGGTTCATGAAGTGGTTCGAACTTTGCCGCGAGCTTGACAGCGATATAAACCCCTCAGACTTCATTCAAAAATGTGGGTGTTTGATGGAGAGTTGCGGTTAGTGAGAGTTTGCAGGTTGGAGGTTTATGAGAGTGAGGAGAGAAAGTCAGGAGAGAATGGAGCCAGCTAAGAAGAGGAGGATGTCCTCCCCTGTGTGGGAACATTTTGATCTTATTACTCCCAACAAGGTATGTAAATTTCTACAGAAGATGTATTTTCATAATACTGATGGTGCAATACAATTAATGTTAAGTGGCTTTACTTTTGTACAAGGTGAAGTGTTTGCTATGTGCCAGGGAGCTGGGATATAACAACAACACCTCATCCATGCTTAGGCACTACAGAGCTTTGCATGAGAATAAGGCTACATCCACGCGTACACGGGTATTTTTGAAAACGGAGATTTTCCGTTTTAAAAAATAATCCCGTCCACACGTAAACGCAGAAATGAAGGAAAACGCTGCTAGGAACATGCCAAAGCAGCAGGTGGTGCTAGATTCCTAACCGTGCAGAAATGTTGGCCAATCAGAAGTCTAGAAGCCTCGGTGGGAAAAAGTAAACAAAGCTGGGGCACAGAAGCAGAACCGAGTCCTATGTGTGGAGGGACAGTAACTATGTGTGTTTATGTAAGCATTTAAGCACTGCAGAGAGTACAATTAACAGTAATAGTATTGTAGAAGTTCATTTCACCGAAACAATAACTTGGCGCACAGGGTGACGTTAAAAAAGGCACACACCTTTGACGCTGTGTTTTCTCCGTTTTTCTCATCCACACGTTATAGCAAAAACAGAGTTTTCGAAATTATCCACCCTGGTAGGCGTTTTTAGAAATCTCAGTTTTCAGTGACCAAAAACGCCGTTTACGTGTGGACGAAAGGTGCAAACACATAGAAAAATCTGCGTTTTCAAAAATACCCAGATACGTGTGGACGTAGCCTAAGGGGAACACAGATTGTGGAGCAAGACCAGGTGAGCCATCAAATGCCATGATAATATAGCATGCCGCAATGTTACTAAATGATATAACAATATTATACAACTGTAATAAGTTACGTGTGTGATATTTATATTTGTGCTTTGTTCTCCAATAAAAGACAATAAAAACAATCTCCAATAGATGAAGACCTGGTTAGCATGGTGATTGAGGACTCCCAGCCATTTAGCATTGTGGAGGACAAAGGATTCAAAAGATTTGTTAAATCATTAAATCCTAGCTATGTTCTCCCCACTAAAAGGTCATAAAAGCAGTGAAAATGTAGTTTAAACAGAATAAAATGTGAACAGGCAGGAACTGTGTGGCGGAGGCGTGGCCCCGGGCGCGGCTGCAGGGGAGGAGTGGAGCGGAAGGCTCAACAGGGCGGCGCTGCGAGGCCGGTAAGAACAGCTGATGTTGTTTATGGACTGATGATGGTCTCCCTCCGCTGTGTTTATAGTGAGACGAGGAGGAGCGGCCAGGGAGAGATCAGCTGGGCTCGTGAGCTGTCAGACTGTGAGACTGAGTCAGCTGTCATAACACAAAGACTGAATAAATGTGGAAGTTGGCAGTACATACCTGTGTGTGCGTGTGTTTG